TCAAACAAAGATAGAAAAGTGTTGGGCTCAAACTCTTTAAAAAGACTAATGATACTCTCACAGTGCAAGTGTTAAGATCATATTTTAAGGACCTCTTTTAGAAACTGTTCCATTCGCAGAAAGAAAAAAGAAAGAGAGGAGAGAGAGAAAGAGAAAGAAGGGAAGGGAAGGAAGGGAAAAAAAGAAAAACGAACCCCCAAAACTGAATATTAGTTACTCTGAGTAGTTGCAAATTGTGGCTGTTCTCAAAAAGTTGGCAGATTTCAGCTGATGAATTTCAGTCCAGTGGCCAAGATGATCAACAAAATAAACCATTTATCAAATGTTAGGGACTTTTATCTGATTGTATTTTGTAGTGCAGCCAGACATAGTTCAAAAACATAGACAGAGCTGTCAGAATGAGGGGCTGAGAATGGTTATAGAAAAGAATAAAAGAGTGCCCCAAATGAATCCAATTTTGTTTAGTAGGATATATAGCTCTCCAAACATTTAAAGAAGAGAGACAGATCTTCACGCTCATCCTATTCTAGGGTATTTTTTAGAGCCTAGTGCTGTTCCTGACACAAGGTAGGTGTAAGGTGAATAAATTAGATTACGCAAGGGCAAGCCTAAGCTCTCAACTAAAATAAAATCATTTTCTGTTTATATAGCCAGGAGGTGGGTCTTACAGTAAGTTCCCAGATAATCTGTTAGCTATTTATTCATAAATATACAAACTGAAGGAATATAGGTCATCCAAGCATCCATCTATCCATACATTCATCCATCCATCCATCCATCCATCCATCCATCCATCCATTCAAAAAATCTTTACTGATTGCCTATTATTTACCTGTCATTAAGTTTGGCAATGGGAATACAGAGATGGAACAGAAATCCAAGACCTCTTTCTTCAGGAGGTGTATGTTCCGGTATGGTTTCAGAAAAGGTATACGGAAGAGTTTGTCATGGAAAATGCTCCACGTTTTCAAGTGAAACTTGATCCCTATAACACTGAGCTTATGATAAGGCAAGGGCAATAAATGGCAGTAAATATCGTCTCAAGGTTGGAAAAGATATTACAGATATAACCTTTACTGCTTAACTGAATATCTACTTGTGAAAAGATATATGCGCCCCTATGATCATTGCAGCATTATTTATAATAGCCAAGATACTGAAGCAACCTAAATATTCATTGACAGACTATTGGATAAATACAAAGTGGTATATATATATAATGGACTATTAGCCATAAAAAGAAATGAAATTTTGCCATTTGCAACAACATGGATGGACCTAGGGGGTACTATGCTAAACGATTTCACTTGTATGTGGAATCTAAATAACAAAATAAATGAACACAAAACAGAAACAGACTCATAGATACAGAGAACATTTTGACAGTTGCCAGATGGGAGGGGGATTGAGGGGATAGAGAAAAAAAGTGAAGAGATTAAGAAACTTATAACAAATTGCCAGTTATAAACAGTGAGGGGACGTACAGTACAGCACAGGGAATACAGTCTCTAATATTGTGATAACTACGTATGATGTCAGGTGGGTGCTAGAGTAATCGGGGGATCACTTCGTAGTCTAAATACTATGTTGCATGCCTGAAACTAATATAATCTTGTATGTCAACTGTAACTGAAAAGATGTTTTAAAAAGATCATACTGGTATTCTTGACTGTCCTCATTGACAAGCTTTATTACAAAGTAAATATGTGAAAGGCAGGGAAGCTGCACAGGCAAGTTCAGAGAAAACGTGCCTGCTGCCCCTGACGTCTATGTCATCTCTCCCCTGGGTAAACATGTCTGATGGGGTGGGGTCCTCCTTGGGAATTTACTCATGAAAGGAAAGATGCTAAATGGAAGGAAAATCAAAATGAAAAATTTACATCCTTTGATTGAGTGCATGTCAACCAGCTGGTGAGTTTCTGGAGCCTTCGCTTCTGATAAGGTGGAGGTCGGAGGGGAACGAACCATTTGTACAATCTCAGGGGCCCCAGCTCCCAAGGGGTGGGTCCCTGACCTACTTGTTTATACTCACAATACTGAACACCCAAACACGCTATTTGAGGTGCCGTGAGTGAAGACGGGGTGACTACAACTTAATATCGCTTGGAATCATGCAAAGTTTGTAGGGCTCCCCCAGTGAAATATTCTCCGGAAAGGAGGGGTGCAAAAATCTGTGTGAAATAGTCTGCCCAGGTGGTCCAGAAGTAGACGTTTAAAACCACAACTAAGACAGGATGCTTACTCAGAAGCTCTCCAGAAATAATGAGAAATAATTCCACAGTCCTGCTGAGGGAACCTGTCAGATGTACATGGACCAGAGAAAAGGCGCAGCAGGATGAGCACACGGCAGCCTATGGAGACCCTGACTGGAGTTCCGACTGACGTGCAAGCTCTGTCCCTTTAAGGGTGAGAAGCTCGGCTTCACGGTTCATCCTTTCAGCAAACCCGCCCGCAAGACCAAGACGAGAAGCTCACAGCAGCCCCAACAGGCAGGCTCCCCTAAATCCAGGGACGTTTCCTCCTTCAGACCAGACAGTACTGATGTTGCCTGGGACGGCAATGAACTCTGGAAACCCTCACGGAAAAGTGACATTCATCATTCATTTTCATTGATTTTTCAATTCCGGTTAAATTGTGTTTGTCTTTTTTTTTGAGCTGTTATGTATGGGGCTAGAAATGCTTAATTCAACTCCCATAATTATATACTTATTGCAACTTAACCAAAACCCAAATGAAGAGATAATGAGCTTGAAACACATCTGTTGCCAAAATAAACCTTAAAAAATTGAATAATCCACTACATTATCACATTGATTTATAAATAGAGACTTACAAAACATTTTCTATCAGTAAAGAGAGTAGCTGAGATGGAGAAATCACTGCATTTTATCTTTCCCTTGTGAGAATTTTCAAGTACCAATGGGAGGATTGTGGGTTCTGGCAAAGTGTGTGTGTGTGTGTGTGTGTGTGTGTGTGTGTGTGTCTGTGTGTATGTGTGTGTGTATGTGTGTGTGCACGCACGCGCATATGTATGCACGTGTGCATACTGGGTGGGGAATAAAGAGAGTTAGAAAGTCATTACTTGCCTCCAAAGAAGATAATATGGCAGTCAGGCAGCCATATAATAGAGAATGAGAGACAAAATGAAGGAAATGGAATCAATATGTTCTTTTTTTCTTGCTTTCCTGTTTTTAATTAGAAAGAATTACATTTTCCAAATGAAAATCAGAGTTTCAGTGCAAATTTCATTCTCGCCCTCATTTCCAATAATTTCCCATTTCTAGTTACTGTTTCCTGCCCCTCAAATGTAAAATCTTAGTGTCGTTTCCAAGTCATTCTTGCCTATATGCAAAAAACCATTTAATAGGGATATTTTAAGATGTCTCAAACTGTGCTAGGCAGTGGGGAGACATACATACATATGATCAGAGTCTCTGTTCTCAAGTAATTTACAGTGGAGGCCAGCATTGCTCTACAGAGCAGTCTATGATGATGGTAATATTTTACATCCGTTCTGGCCAATACAGTAGCCACTAGCCACATGAGGCTACCGAGCACTTGAAATGTGGATCGTTTGAGAACCCGATTTTTACATTTTAATTTCAACTACTGTAAATTAAAATTTAAATAAATACATGTGACTAGTGGTTATTACATGGGACCACACACAGGTCTAGACAAAAAGGGGATATTCTTTAATGAGACAAATGGCAACTTAAAAGAGCATGTGGCAAATGCCATGTGATGGCTACAGGTAAGTGCAGGTGGAGATCAGAGGAAGAACAAGACTGTAGAAGACTCAGGTGGAGGAGGATGGCTTCTTAGAGGAAGTGGATCTAACCCAGAATCATGGGAGAGGCTACAGCATGGAAAGCAGGAGAGAAGGCATTTCTGACCCAGGATTTGTTTAATCAGAAACACTGAGGGGAAAATGCACAGCAGTGACCCCATGGCAGATGGTTCTTGTAGAAGATTGAAGGTGACTGCAGGGGGTCATACATATGAAGTGCGGCCACATAGGGAGCAAGGAATTCCAAAATGGAACAGATTTGGGGTGGGCAGGGTGGGGGGTGGATGGGACTCCCCAAGTTGGTATGGTATGCTGTGTTTGAAGGGTCAGGAGGCTCTCCTGAAGGGAGCCTGCGGTGGGTTACAGGGCAGACCTGGAACTCAGGGGAAAGGGCAGAGCCAAGAGGCACATGTAGGGACGTAAATGGGACAGTTTGCCACTCACTCCCTCTGATGTCATATCTAATATTACCAATAATTGTCCACATGTGGAAATGGGCCCAACATTTCCAGAATTTCTGATTTTCAGAAAGGTTGGAAGTAGGAATTTTTAAAAAAAGAAATACAAAATCCAAATATTTTGACATGGAAACTAATGTGAAAATTTTAAAACACCCTGGGTCAAACCAAAGAGCAAGAGTATGGACCGACTGAGGTCCATGTGTCACCTGTTTGTGACACCTGACCTAGAAGATGGATAATGTTTCTTAGAGACAGCCTAATGGTAAAAAACGCAGAGACTGAAGGAAGAGAGAGGTTCTCGGGGAAAACAGAGGGGCATGCGGCAGAGAGTTTGGGAAAGAACAGAGGTGAGTTGAAGGCACCTGGCTCTGATGAGGAAAGCGTCGTTGATCTTAGACAAAGCCACCTCCCTCCCCGTCCTTCCTTCCTTCCTTCATCCCTCCCTCTCCCTCTTGGCAGAAAGATAAGGAGAGGAGTTCACAGTTACTAGGGCCTCAAGAAGAAGTGGTCGGTGAGGAAACAGAGCAGCTTGAATTAATTCAGATAATTCTAGATGGTATTGCTTTTTATAGTGTGGGGTTTTTTTTTTTTTTTGGTTCACATAATATCCCATTTCCTTTTATAGATTCTTCCCACCCAACCATGCGTAAATATCTAATTTCCGCCTTTACTATATAAAGCTCCACATCTTCCCTCATGTGAGAGCTACATTTGAATTTCATGAAGAAAATGGGTGCCTTTCAGCTCACCTCCCGGTCCAGCAGTGCAGGTGACACGACGGTGACAATGTCTCCTTTCTCAGGATCGATGTAGAACATGTTGGGAGATGGCTTGTCAGGTGTCTGCTGACGGATATTATACCGCAGGAGGGCATTATCTGTGGCTGGGTCATCTGCATCAAAGGCTGTCATCCGCATCACCGTGGTCCCTAAGGGGGCAGGACAGAAGGACGGGAGATGGTCATTTGGGGGACATCGACAGGCAGAGCCCCTGTCCCCCATCCAGGCAATGGCAATGAAGTGATGTGCCAATCACTTTCCAAATTAAAAATGGAAAGTGTTTCTTTAGCTCTGTGATGGTTTAGCTTGTCTTCTCCACTCCCTCCCTGCTCCATCATGTTAAAAGACCTGAAATAAAGAAAAGATATCTTTGCTGTTCAGGAGATTGACAGCCTAATTTTTCCTTCTGCTGATATGCTGTTCATTTTCACGGGCTTTCATTCCATTGTAGATGTGGCCCCATGACAATGGCCTTCATTTTAAAAGCCCTTATTGAAAGCCTACTACACGTGGGGCCCTGGGCCAGGTGCAAAAAGGCACATTCCCCAGTGTCCAGCAGGTCAGTGATTAGTAGCAGAGAGAGCATGTAGAAAGGTAAAAATACTAAAGAATATCAAGTACATTGAGAGAGGGCTTTATGAATACAGAAGAGAACAGCCTCATTTAACCTGGGTTCGGAAAAGCTCTCTGGTGCCTAGGGGGAAGTAATGGGAAAAGATATGCCAATTGAAGGAACATGAACAAACATTGATTGAGCGTTCCCTATTGTGGCAGCCACACTGTCTTAGGCACTTTAATTACAAAGACAATATGAAGATGAGGGTGACATGAGGACTATTAGGTATGTCAAGGGTTGATAAGAGTGTCAGATACAGGGTCTTGCTCGCACATAGCTGACATGAATGGGAATTGGTCAATTTTCAGGGAAAATTGAGCAGCGACTAGTAGAAAAAAAAAAATGCATTCATCCCCTTGGCATCTACCCTCGAGAAACACTCACAGGAGGGTTTTTGCCAAGTGTGTTCGTGGCAGGATTATCCACCACAGTGAAATATTGAGAAACAGAATAACTGTCCAACAACAGAGGAATTGCTGATGGTATCCCCGCACTAAGAAACATTTTGTAGCAGTTTAAAAAAGTTTGTAGATCTAATGTGCTCTAACATGGAGTGCTCGCCGAGAGAGAGCATTAAGTGAAAAATATCAGGTTGAAGGATGTTATTCACAGTACGGTATCATTTTGTGAACCTGCCGGCACAGAGAAAGTTCTACAATACTTTATGCATCTGTTTTGCAGGTACAGTTTATACGTGTAAGTGCATAGAAGCAGCTCTATAAAGGTGAACTTTGCATGGGTTATGGTGGCTAAATTTGGGAAAGGAGAGGGGACTTGGATTAAGGATGGTGACAAAGGAAGATTTTGGCTCAGTTTGTAATGGTTTGGTCATTTTTACAAGGAGAATATATTGCTTTTGCAATTAAAATTTAATTTAAAAGGATCATAATCATAAGCACTGATAGAAGCGTGGTCTAGAGCAGAATCAGGCACGTTTGCCTGCTGGTCTCAGCAATTGTGAGCTATCATATTTAGCTCAGGGTGACCTGCCCGACCATAATTTTTCATGGCAGTTTAGTCTCCTATGAATATAGAATCCCACCTTCTGGTTCTGAAGCCTTTTGGATCCACAAAGTGTGACCTAACTGGTAAGAGATGAAAGCAGTAGACCTACAGTTCCTAGCAGGAATATTTACATGTATATATAAAATATTGATGCTTAAAGGAAACAGAATTCACCCAGTTCAGCCACCACCCCGGTATGTCTTTTACTTACATAACAGTGCTTCTCAAACCGTCAGAGCCAATTTACTTTTTCTCATAGTAGGAATCAGATTGTTAGCCATTATGTCTGACTGATCAGGCAAACAAGGGGGAGTCTGACCAAACTAAAGCCGGATCAGTTTGTTAAGTAGTCTCAGTTAATTTCACCAGTGTTGCCATCAAGGCTAATGTATCAAGATGTGACTCTATTCTACCTCGCTTCTTTGCCCTTCCTTGTTTCTTTGTAAGAATGTTGCAAGGCAAACCTTTGGGTCCAGTGCAAGAATAGAAAATTCTTGGCATGTGCAAGCCCCTTGCCTTTGGAAGATATCAGCAAACCATTTGGCACTCTGTTTCCCATTAAGTTATGGAATCAGGGTTCTTTCTCAACCCACTGGTCCAGATGGCCAGTCTCAGTACATCAGTTTAGTGTGAACAGTGACACTTACTTGCCTTCCTGGTTTAGGAAAACAGGCATACTTGGGGATCTCTATCAGAAATGAGAAGTAGCTTTCAGGCCTGCAATCTCACCCAGTGACGGGCAAAGTGAGGTATGTGGGGCCAAAGGCATGGAAAGAGGCCTCAGCCCCACCAAGTCCTCACCAAATAGTCTCTGGTTAAGTAAGCATGACCCAGTGTCTTGCACTTTGTTAGTGTCTAATGAATGCTTGATTGATGGAATCTGTGTCCTATTTAATCTGCCTTTAATTGCAGTCAAAGATGAACGAGCAAAAGAAAGTATAAAAATGAAGTCATCGTGACTTTTGACTGTCATGGTCAAAACCTCTCAGATTTATGAGTTTTCCAGTTTTCATCAGGAATTCATTGATAATGTCTTTTTTAGTCGTTATTTTTTACAGATTCGCTAACATGACATAATAAAAGGTTATGTAATATTTCCAAGGTTACACAGAAATATTTTTTTTTATTTTAACGAATAGCTAGAGAGCAAGTAAACTTGGTCTTCGGTCCTGCCTTTTTCTTAACCCAGGCGTGAATACATACCCGGATTTACTTCCGAGACTGACCTCTACGGAGACCGCCTATGTCAGGAGATAGGTTTGCAGCAATGAAGAAAAAGATTGTAAGGTAACATATCCAGGTTTAGGTCTTTACTATGAGAACGTGGGCTAGTTATTCAAACCTCCCCAAGCCTCAATCTCCCCTTTACAACATGAAGACACTACTAACACTTTTCTCTCGGTTCCTGTAAAGATTTAATGGGATAATATATTAAAGAACTCAATATAGTGCCTGATGCATTAGTGCTCTGAGGAGGATGCCTTTTATGATCAAATCTGCAGTGCAGGCAATGGCCTCAGACAAAGGAGCTCAGAATTAAATTGTCCACAAAACCTGGCATGCAAGGTGGCCCTGCCTCGCCCTCTCCCTTCTACCTTGCCCATTGCTCTTAGTTTCTAGATTTGGGTTTCTATTATGGAGATCACAACTCTATACCAACACACACACACTCACACACACTCTGTAGTTTGCACTGCTTTTCCACATGATACTCTAGTGGATCAAGGCTCTATTCTGAGTACCAGTCCATTTGGTGGGTTTAATATCTTGCTCTTGCCAGCTCCTCCCTTGGCAGCTGGGTCATATTTTTCGTACTTTTAAGTTCTACAATGGCTGGATAAACCTACTTCCTAAGCCAGCATTTCCTAAGTTGTAGCCAAGGAACTCTGGTTCCATGGGCTCAGCAGAGAAACAAATGTGGAAAATATGTGGTAACCATAGTTTTAAGCCAGTTTTCTCTTGGAAAATGGTTAAGTGCCCCTATGAGCAAATGCATATTGAAAATCTCCAAGAGAGGGTCAAATCTGCAGAATTCCCCAAATTTCTCTGTTGATGAATCTCTTTATTTAAAGAAAATCTTTATGTGAGGGGCTGCATAGTCCTAAATTTGAGCTCTTGGAGGGCACATGCTGTGTTTTGTTCATATTCGTAAACTCAGTATCTGATACGTAGTAGGATGCCTTGTTGTTTGAGTAAAATTGCATTCTTATAATTCACTGTAGCTTTGCCTCTTCCACACTGATCAGAAGTCATGGATAACTTGTCTACAGTGCTGTCGGGGCATTTTTCACAACCAGGCATGCTTCACTACCTCCTCTGAGCTCTTTTTTGCCCCTTGGAGTCCCTTGTTGGAACTGGTTTCAGCAGTCATCACTAATTGCAAGTCTCGGGCAGATATTAAGCACGTAACAATAAGCATGACAGCTGTTCCCACTGCCTATGGGAGGCATCGGTACCCTCCCCCTTACCTGAGCCCACTCCTAGGCTCTAAGGAAAAGGGCTCATTGATTTCCATCAGCCCAGAAGCTTCCTGTCTGTGCTTATTTCATGCCAATGTGTGCTTTTTGATGGCAGAGAAATGATAATTACATGATAGACATGGGTATGGATTCTCCACACACAGCACATTTCTGTCTTCTCCCTTGTCACAATATTCTCCTGAGCATCAAAATAAATGATAATCACCCTGTCACTCCCAGAGCCATATGAACTAGAAGTGGCCCCTCCAAAGCAAAATAAAAGAATTCCAAGTGGCTAGCTGAAAGTCTCAAATCGGGCCATTATTTTCCTTTGTCGAAGGACATGGCTGCCAACGCGACAGGCTGATAAACAATTATGATTGTTTTGTCTTAGATAGCCCCTTCCTCTTGGCTGTATTTCTCTGATTAAAGTGCTGCCTAGTGTCATGACCTTGAAAGCTGGTGTTGACAGGTTTGTCTCTCTGTGACTTTGAGCCCAGTTATGCCTTTGAGAAGCAGAGCGCAGATCAGAAGGTGAGGGGCTAGTTTCAACTTCCATGAAAGGTCAGCCAGCCTCAAGTGGGAGGCTCCAAAAGATGGCTTGCTAAGTGCCACAGGTAATGAAATTATTCTGTTCTGGAAATCTTTTTACTTCATCCCAAAACATTTTTCTCACATGATCAAAAATGTCAGCCTCTTTTTTTTTTTTAAACCGTATTCCCATGAGCAAATAATATATCAAGACAAGGACATTCAGATCTGATAGCACAGTTGGGGCAATGTATCTTTCCAGGGAGATGCAGAGTACCAAATCCAGTATGAGCAGAAATGGAAGATGTCACTAAGTGAGCTCTCTGGATGTAACAAAATGTTGCATCATCATAAAACATCAAATTTGTGAGAGGAGGTAGTGGGTTTTAAAGCGACCCAAACACTGATCTGTGACTGAATTAAGAGATGTGCCTCAAACGTTACTGACAAGAGAATGTGACCATGGATACTGCATTGCACAACTTATTCTCCATATCAGAACAGAGTCCTTAGACTATCGGTACCTAAACCTGTTCAG